CACCTCTTTTCATTTTTTTTTGCTTTGATCATCATTATTCTTTTCAGTTTCATTTCATCTCTTACAGTGCATATCTTCACATCTCTATATGTTTCCAAAGTTGAAGCATAACCTTTTAGGCCATGCGTTTCGATGGTCTACTATGGTATGGCCCTTAAGCCAAATGTCCTTGGTGGTGATATGTATATTAACTTTGTCTTTGCTGCATTAGTGGAGATACCAGCTCTTCTTCTGGTGTTCTTAACAATTGATCGGTGAGGAGAAGTCAAAAAAGGACTTTTTTGGGTAAACTGAAGATTTAGGGTTGGTCGTCGTGCTGTAACCAGCGCTGGTTATTTTCTTGCTGGAGCTTGCCTACTTGTTAATTATTTTATGGGAGAAAATGGTGGGGATTCTGCAAGTTGAAAATCCAGCAAGCTTCTCAAAGTCCTTTGTTTTAGTGCCATTGGTGGTGTCGATTATCCAAATGATGATATCTAGAGGTGCTATCACCGGCACATATGCGGCCATGTACACCTACACACCCGAATTGTTCCCTACAGTAATCCGAAATACAGCAATGGGTATTTGTAGTATGATCGCACGTATTGGAGCAATCTCGGCTACCTACCTCAGCCTGTGGATCGTAAGTTATTTTGATGTTACAGATTTGTTTTGTATTGCACTGCGACAAGGCCCGATTTTCTATCTTTTCATTTTTTCAATAAATCATTTCCTTACTAAGATGAATTGTTGCCTGATCATTCAGTCTCTAATACCGCTTTTCCATCTAAACATTTGCGTTTTTGTAGGCAGAGACTCCGAATGGCAAAATGTACATGATCATCCCATTCGCAGTTATGGCGATCTCAGCTGCCGCACTTACGCTATTCTTCTTGCCAGAAACGATGGGCACTGCATTACCTGAAACAATCGCCCAAATAGAGGGTGAAGATTCACCTATATCACAAGAGCTTCAACCTCTTCGACCAAAGACCCCAGAAAACACCGTAACAGCATCCGCAAAAGGAGAATCTGAAGTGACCTCTGAAAATATGCAGAATGACTTATCTTCCTTAGACAAGAATGACGATTGAAAAACGGCTAAAGTCTAAAAATGTTATCTACTTTTTAAAATGTTTAATAGCATAACTTTTCATTTGAAATCATTCTTCTTCAAGAACATTTGTCCTTAGCGTTTCTAGCATATAGGATCTCTGTGAAATTGTTTTTATTACAACCTTGACCAAACTGTGTTGAATTTGAGCGTTTCTCACTTCTAATAGGAAAGCATTTCAGGTTATTAATAATGAACGATAATAAATTTCTAACAAGTTCTTTA